TCCTGGATCTCCGTCCAAATGAAGGGCTCACTTTCCCATGTAACTTCATAGAGGGGCCTTGCCAATTCAGCAAATCCTGGGATTCATAGCGGCAGAATCCTGCTGACACCAGGAATTCTCTCACTGCCCTCCGGGAGTGAGGGGTGGGTATCTTTAGCACTGTCTCTTTCCTGGCATCTGTAAGCCATCTTTATCCTTCCTTTAATATGTATCCCAGATAGGCGACCTCTCTCTGGCATATGTGGGCTTTCTTGGCAGATGCCCAATATCCCAATCTGCCTAGGGTCGCCAGGAGATCTCTGGTTCCCTGCTAACAGACACTGCAAGGCATTATCAGCAGCTATTAAGATGTCATCCACATATTGTAATAGGGTAAGCTGGGGGTGTTCCAGCCTGTACTCACCCAGGTCTTCATGGAAAGCCTCATCAAACAGGGTAGGCAAATTTTTGAATCCCTGTGGCAGGCGGGTCCAAGTCAGCTGCCTGTTGAAGCCAATCTCCTGGTCTTGCCATTCGAAAGCAAAGAAGGGTTGGCTCTCTTTGGCCAGAGGCAGGATAAAGAAGGCATCTTTCAAGTCTAACACCATGTACCAGTTTCTGGAAGGTGGCAAAGAACTCAGGATAGTGTAAGGATTAGGTACCGTTGGATGTACATCCATAACCCACTTGTTCACCTCTCTCAAGTCCTGGACTGGCCGGTAGTCCATTGAATTTGGCTTTTTGACCGGCAGGAGGGGGGTATTCCAAGCCAATCAGCAAGGCACCAAGACGCCTTGATCCCTCAGGCACTGGATATGAGGAGTGATCCCCAGCCTGGCCTCCTGGGACATAGGGTACTGTTTAACTCTGGCTGGTAGGATTCCAGGCTCAATCTCTATCCAGATGGGGGGCCAGTGGGTGGACAGCCCCATGCCCCCTGTCTCAGCCCAGGCTGTGGGGAACTCCTTTAGCTGGGTGGAAACCTCCTCCTTTGGTGTAGAGGCCGGTTTTTGATGTAACCTAAACTCATCTTCCAGTTGTAGGGTGAGTACCTGGATTGGGTGGCCTTCTTGGTCAGTCATTTGGGCCCCACTAGGGGTGAAATGAATGTAGGCTCCAATTTTGGTGGGCAAGTCTCTGCCCAGGAATGGGTAAGGGCACTCTGGCATGACCAGGAAGGAGTGGGACACCCAGCCCTTGCCCAGGTCCACTTTTCTTCAAGTTGTCCATGAGTATTGGTTCATGCCAGTAGCCCCCTGTACCCAGGACTTTTTATGTGATAGTTTTCCTTGGGGCTCAGTTAATACCAAGTGTTGGGCACCTGTGTCTACATGGAAGCTCACAGGCATCCCCTCCACTTTGAGGGTTACCCTAGGTTCAGGGAGGGGATCCAAACCCCAACCTCCCTAGTTTCTTATTTCTCTGAGCTCAAGGATTTGCACTCCTTCTTGGGCCCTGCCTCGCCCAGCAGGTTTTTCTGGGCAATCTTTCATCCAGTGGGCCATCTTTTTGCAATAGGTACATTGGTTCCTCTGTAACCTTGGTCACCCTTCCCGGGGTTTCCTACCTGAGTCCGCAGAGAGGTAGCACAGTTGGCGTTCCTGCTCATCAGATGACTGTAGTCATAGCCAGAAGGATCATAGTGAAGTCTCGGGTCTGCTTGGCACTAGCAGCAGCAGTGGCTTGAGCCTGTTTGTCTTCCAGGCTTTCTAGACCCTCTCTGTCACTGCCAAAAGCTCCAGCAGAGTCTTATCTGCCAATCTATCTAGTTTCTGTAATTTGCGCCTAACATCAGGTGCTGACTGGTTGACAAAGGCCAATATGACTCCATTCTTGTTTTCTGGTACCTCTGGATTCATGGGTGTATAAGTGCAGAACGCCTCAAGGATCCTCTCTAAAAAGGCTGCTGGGGATTCTGTCTTTTCTTGCTGCAGATCACTAATCTTAGCCAAATTAGTCGGGAGCTTGCCGTGACCCAGAGAACCCCCCCCCCATTAGAGTCTGGCAGTAGACCTGGAGCCTCTCCTTACCTTCTGCCACATTGAAGTCCCATTTTGGTTGGACTAATGGGAAGGCTTCATTGATCAGCACCTGGTTGGTGGTGGGATTCCCATCCACCCTGGGGACCAGATTCTGGGCCTCAGTTTGGATCCAGTCCCTCTCCTCGGTGGTAAATAGAATCTGTAATAGCTGTTGGATGTCATCCCAAGTGGGATGATGGGTGAAAAGAACAGATTCTAACAGATCAATAAGGCCCTGTGGTTTCCAGAGAATTTGGGCGTTTGCAATTTCCAATTGTAGAGGTCACTGGTGGCAAATGGCCAATATTGCATTTGTTGGGCTCCTGCCTCATTAAAGGGTCCCACTTCCCTTAAGGGAAGGACGGTGGAGTCTGCTGCTGCTCGTGGCTGTCCTCTCTGGACCCTCCTCCGAGTTTGGGGGGGTCTCACCCCTAGGGGCTTGGGCTGCCTCAGCCTCTCCTGGGGGCTCTAAACACCCTGGTTGTGCCGGCAGTGTTGGGGAGGCTCATGCAGAAGTTCTTCCTCCGTTCCACCCTGGAGGACAGGATAAAGTGGGGCGGAGCTGACGGTTTAGTTTCACTTTTCTGCCGCTTGTCATCACGCAGGGTGAGGATGGTTGTTTTTGAACCCTGTGGTGGCAAAAATGGTTTGAGCCATCCAGGGGGGCTCTTCAACCAGGGCCTGCCAGGTCATGATATAAGGAACCTGGTCGGGGTGTCCTGGCTGCCTGAAAATAATATTTTTAACCTTGAAAATAGTGGGGAGGTCAAACATTCCCCCTTCCAGCCATCCAGTGTCAAAGGTTGGCCATTCATTCCTGCAAAGGACAAAGAGTCTTCCCTTTTTGACCTCCAGCCCTTGTCCTCTAGCCTTCTTTATGAAGTCAGAAAAATGATCCTGAAAAAGACTCAAAGGTGTTACTTGACTTTTTCCCATGTCCTCAACTAAGTAAGTCACAAATAACACTGAAAACACAAAGACACACACTGACAAAATAATACTTCCCGGCGCTGTAAACAAGAACTGAAAGTGGGATGTTGGCCTCTCGACGCTCCATGGACAGACACGACCTGCCTTTCCCATCCAAAGTTACAAGTGGAATCCAATCCCTATCAGTTGGGTACGGAACATCTCCCGAGTCCCATGGCCTGGGGTCTTCCAGCGCATCTGCCTAGACTGCCAACAGGCTAACATGGTAACGGGGCCCAAAACCAAAAGCGCGCAACACACACAAACAAGAGGGCAAAGACACTTACTGGCCGGGCCAGGCTCAATGCTCTGGGGGTTCTGTGGGGGTTTTGGGGATCCCAGGACAAGCCCCCAAATGTTATGCCCAGATCTCGTGACCCCCTAATGACCACCAAGGAGTCTGGAGTGTATGAAACAGCAAAGAGCCTTTATTCAGGCTTAAGCTCGGGCCCTCAGATTTCACCGACGCAGGGGATCCGTACTGAGAGCCCCAATCTAGGGTGGGGTACGCTTTTATAGGGAAGTTTCACAGAAGCCCACGTGCACCAAGCATCCTTTAAAATAATTGGGTGGTCCTATGCCCTGAGTAAGGGGAGGATTCTTATTGGTAGGGGCTGGCTGTTATCTGTGGGGCCAGAAGTTTCTGTTTTTACCTTATAAGGCTGCTATATGCCCGGGCTTGCTTGATCTATAGCTTTCCGGGATGGGGGTGGTAGCTGAAGATTACAACATGCCTGGGCATGCCCGGGCTTGCCTGAAACAGCTAGTCAAAATGGAGTTAGTGCCGCCTCAAGCCAAGCAAATTACAGAAGCAGAAAGAAGCGGTTAGACGAGTCAGGGTCCCACACACAGTGGCACATGTGTGCCCAAATACACAACATATCATGCACACAGTTAAATAATAAGTAACACCCAGGGGATATCAGCCAACCTGGGCCACACAGCAAGACTGACCCTGTCTCAAAATACACTGAAAGAGAAGAGATACAAAATATATAAATAACAGCATGCTCTTCAACACATATATACAACTTTTATTGTCTTGTCAGTTAAAAAGCTAAAAGGGCTGGGGATGCGGCTCAGTAGGCGAGCACTTGCCTAACTGGTGCAAGGATTTAGGTCCCATCCCAGCACAAAAAAGAAAAAGAAAGAAAAAATGTTAATACAGCTGTACTGAATGTATTAGAATAGGGAATTAAGAATTAAGAATTGTATTGAATGTAATAGAATTAAGAAACTAAGAATCAAAAAAGAACTCTAGCAAAAGTATATAAACATATCCAAAGTGTGTACATTAAAGATAAGAGCATCACTTAGTAGCCCTAGAATGTAACCTAGCAACCTGAGTGTAACTGTGTGATTAGCCAAATGATGTAAGAAACTGATAAACATATGTTCGCCAAGTAATGCATAAGGACTATAAAAACCCAGAGGAAAATCAGTCTGTGGGCGCACATATGAGCTGAACTCCCGTCGGCTGTGCGGCCCCATCTTCTGACTGATCCGGTCTCTGGACCATGAGAAAAAGAGGAACTTCACGTCACGAACATCCGGACCTGACTCGACCCTCTACCGCGAGACAACGAGACTACCATATCCGACTGAGATGACGTCACTCGGGCATTGGCCTTAGGACTGGTACTCTTATCTGTCGTTGTGTTATGTGTGAAATTGTTTATGATTCCCCAAATAAATGCATTGAAAGACATTGGCTCTAGAAATATTTATCCTTCCTCGCATCATGAGGTGATGCTCAACTAAGCCTTAATAACTCCACTCACGACAACAGCACTTTAAATATGCCCCACCTTCAGTCCATAAATACCAAAACTTTTCCTTGATCCTTGATCCAAACATACCTACGGGGCTGGGGATAGCTGAGCGATAGAGCACTTGCCCTCAGATGCACAAGGCCCTAAGTTCAATCCCCATCCCCACACCCTCACCCCCCCCCAAAGAAAATCACCCACAGTGTCATGAAAGTCTGGGTTTTCTAGAGTTAAGCTAATTCGGCCCCAGGGGTATTTTCATGAAGAGTCTGGGAGCTTGACACCGCCGGCTGTTGGTCAGTCTTCTCTTCCAAACTGTGCCAGATTCCATATCCAAAATAAATAGCAAATCCTGGAAGAAAAGGGAGGTGGTGGGGTCGTAACAGTCACTTCCTTTGATGTTCACTCATGCCCATCGGGGATTCTCCACATGGTCCCAGATAGTTTCAAAGGGAGGCCATGGAGGACTGTTGATCCCTGTTGCCCAGAAGTCTCTTCCCCACTCACCAGTCAGCATACAGACTCCAAAGCAAGCCCAGGTCCCAGCAGCCATTTGCATCATTAGGTAGACATTCATAAAGATGCTCAGTAGAGGGAGCAGAGGCAGTGCAGGGACCTGTGGACAGAATCTGAATCCCTGCACTCACCACACACCTGTGCTCTCCCTCTGGGCCTAGCACCCAGCCCTGTCTAGGCTGTGCAATCAGTGCTCACCCCAAAGACCCCATGGAATGTTCCAGAAGGGACAGGTATTAAGACAGGCATACACCACCACTCCCGATTTATTTGATGCTGGAGATCAAACCTAGGGCTACATGAATGCTAAGCAAGTACTTTACCAACCGAGCTAAATCCTCACCTCCCCCAATCTAGCCCCAGCTACTTTTTCAGTACTGGGGGCTGGGCTCCTCCTGCATGTTAAGCACTCTACCACTGAGTTACATCTCCCGGCCTTTTTGTTTGGGGTTTGGGGGGTTGAAAAAAAATTTTTTTTAAATATGTATGTGGTAGAGGGGAGGGTTTGTGCATGTGAATGTAGGTGACCTCAGAGGCAGAAGATCCCCTGGAGCAGGAATTACAGGCAGTTGTGAGCTGTCCAAAGCGAGTCCTGGGAACCAAGACCTTGGGCTCACTGCAAGAGCAGCCGGTGCTCTTAGCTGCTGAGCCATCTCTCCAGCCCCTTGATTTTGCTTTTGGTTTTGTTTTGTTTTTCCTTTTTGGTTCATTGGTTGTGTGAGGCAGGATCTCATGTAGTTGAGGCTGGCCTCAAACTCACTATGTAGCCAAGGCTGACCTTGAACTCCTGAGCCTCTTCTCCCCAACTCCCTAGTGATGAGAGTAATGGGCATTTACCACCACACCCGGATTATTTTTATTCTCAAACCACATCACTAAGTTGCCTGAGCTGGCTGTGAGCTTACTCTTACAGCCCAAGCTGGCCTTTAAATTGTGATCCTTCTGCCTCAGCCTCCCTGAGTAGCTGGAATCACAGTCATACACCACGATTCCTGGCTTTGTCTATTGGTTTTCTTTTTTTTAGGGGGAGAGTATTTTTTTATGTGTATGAGTGTTATGCCTGCATGTATATAAGTACACCTATGTCACATAATGCCTATGGGTGCCAGATCCCCTGGAACTGTAGTTAAGGATGGTGGTTAGCCACCATGTGGGTGCTGGGAACCAAACCCAGGTCCCCTGCAAAAGCAGCCAGTTCTCTCAGCTGCTGAACCCTCTCTCCAGCCCCTCTCCATTGGTTTTATCAGCCTCTTTCCTTTCCAGTACAGTAAAACATGCTTAGGCCTCAAGGTAGCCAGGACCACTCACCCAGGTTGGGCATCTGAGGACAGTAGAGGTCACCTACCTTGAAGTGGAGAGTTGTAGCCTTCTGGGGCTGTCTCCAGATGACAGCCACCATGCCAACAATGAGAAACAGTAATGAAACAGCCACGGCGATCAAAACCAGGTCTCCAGAGAGCAGGTGCCTGGGCCACTGGGCCAGGATCAGGCACAGGAACATCAGCAGGAAGACTGAAAGCCAAGTTGTAGAGAACGAGTCCAACATCCAGGAGCCAAGTGTGTCAGAACCCTGTGCCACACCCCACCAATCTACCCATCCCACAACTTCCCCTCAGCCTGCCACACATTCCCTGGGTTTTCTGTCAGCTTCCAAATGCCCAAGGCGAAAGTCCCACCATGTACCAAGCAGGGAGGCACATCCATAGACAACCCGACCGGATCTCAGAGTGGGGGTGGCATCTGTGGGGACACACAGACTCCTCAGAATCCCCACACTTCTTGCTTTCGGAACGGGCTCTAGGGATGAAGCTTCAGGCGTAGGCCTCATCTCAACAGCTCCACCCTCAGATTTTTCATTCTTACCAGAGTTTAGGTTCTGGTCTGGCTGGTATCTGAATGAGAGGTGTGGGAAATATTAACAGCAGCCCCATGCATCCAACAGCAGACATCCAGGATCAGCACCCAGCCATCCTGTGCCCCAGAGCCCCAGCCAGGTGTGGTGGTGTCTCACCTGAGGACCAGAACAGAAAAGGCCACCAGGGAGTAGGTGAGCAGGGTCCCGATGGATGTGAGATCCACAAGATCACTGAGCTCAAAAAGAACAGCCATGGATGCCACAAATCAAGGAATAAAACAGGGAAAAGGAGACTGGATGGATGACTCAGTGGCTAGGGATACTGCCTTCTCTTGCAGAGGACCCAGGCTCGGTTCCCAGCATCCATGGGGTGGCTAACAAACCCACATAACTCCAGCTCCAGCGCAGCCAGTGCCCTCTTCTGGCTCCCTCAGGCACTGCACGCTCGTGGTACACCTACACACATGCAAGCGAAACACTCATAAAATATTCTTTTAAAAGAGGAGGGGTGCTGTGGTTTATATAGGAAATGCCCTATGTAGGCTCATGCATTTGAACACTTGGTCTCCAAATGGTGATGGTGTTTGGAAAGGTTATCAGAATCTTTAGAATATGGAGCCTTGCTAGAAGAAGCACATCAAGGGGCAGGCATTGGGGTTTTAGAGCCTGGCCCACTTCCTGTTCTCTCTCTCTGCTTCCTGACTGCAGATGCAATGTGAGGAGCTAGCCTCAGGCTCCTGCTGCTGGCCTTCCCTGTCATGATGGACTCTCTCTGAAACTGTGAACCAAATAAACCCTTTCTCTCCCTAAATGTCTTTTGTCCCTGTATTCTATCACAGCAACAGAAAAGAAACCAATGGCCGGGCGAGGCGGGGGGCATGAGAAATTAGCTACTGTGGGGTGGTGGCACACACCTTTAATCCCAGCACTAGGGAGGCAGAGACAGAGCTCTGTGAGATAGAGGCTAGCCTGGTCTAAATAGCGAGTTCCAGGCCAGCTGGAAAAAGGAAAAAAAAAAAAAAAAAAAAAAAAAAAAAAAAACAAAAAACAGTAAAGAAGAATTATGAAATTGATCATCAGGCTGCTGCCTGTTTGACTTTACCTGCTATGAGTCCACAAATGACAGTAGCCAGGACAGGCGTGTATGTCCGAGAATGGATGCAGGCAAGTTTACAGAATAGGAGTCCATCCTCTGCCATGGAATAGACCACCCCAGGCACAGGGAACATGGAACCCAGGAGGCTAGGAGGGGAGAGGAACATAGGCAGAGGCTGTGGCATAGCAGAAACGGATAGGTCACCCCACATGGACTAAACAGCGGGTCCGTTCCCCTCCCTCCCCTCTCCTCCACGCATGTCAAGGGCCAGAGAACATGTTGATACAAACCTGGAGGAAAGGGCGCACAGGGTACCAACAGCCACTGCGAATCGAGGCCAGGGCCCCATCCGACATAGACAAAGGCCTGGGGCAAGGGACTGTCTGTGTGAATCTGGTAGTAGGGCATCATAAGCATGAGTGCCGGCAGAGACACCAAAATACATCAGAAAGCAAACAAACAGTGAGGTCACAATGCCCAGCGGGATGGAGCGCTGGGGACAGCGGGCCTCCTCCCCTACAGGACAGGGAGCAGGTCTTGGGTCAGAAACACACACAGGCCACCGCACAAAACCCTTTCCCTCCTACACCGCCTAAAGCAGGCTAGCTTTCTCTATGCCCGAGGGTAGCCCACACCATGCCCATGTCTTTGATAGGACAGAGAGACTGTGATACCTGTAGTGGCAATACAGGTGAACCCAATGAAGGCAAAGCAGGTGGCCGCACCACGGAGAACCCCATCAAAGCCAAAAAGCACGAACCCTCCAGAGCTCAGACTGCCTGAGCTGTGGCAAAATGGGAAAAGGACAATGTTGCAGGGCGTGGTGGTGCAACCTGCGATCCCAGCACACGGGAAGCAGACGCAGAGGGATCACAGATTCAAAATCCAGCTCTAGCTTAGTTCAAGGCCAGCCTGGGCTACCTAGCAAGACCATATGTCAAAAAAGTTAGGGTGAGGGAGACCTAGAAATATAGCTAAGTTGGTAGAATGCTTGCTTAGCATTCACGAAGTCCTGGGTTCAACCCAGCTTGGCCATGCAAGTGTAATCCTGGCACTTGGGATGTGGAGGCAAAGAGATCAAAAGTTCAGGTTCATCCTCGGCTACATAGTAAGTTGACAGCTAGCCTGGGATGCATAGGACCACTGTCTCAAAAACACTGAAGGGGCTGGAGAGATGGCTTAGCAGTTAAGAGCACTGGGTGCCCTTGTAGAGGACCTTGGGTTCGGTCCCCAGCATCCACTCGCAGCTAACATCCATTTATAATTCTAGTTCCAGGGGATCCCACACTCTCTCTGGCCTCTATGGGTACTGCACACATGTGGTACGCTTATATGCATGCAAGCAAAACACTCATATATAAAAATAATTTTTTTAATTTTATTTATTTTTATGTGTCTGTTTTGCCTGCATGTATGTAAGTGCATGCAATGTCCTCAGAGGTCATAACCACCATGAGAGGCTGGAATTCAAACCCAGGTGCTCTGCAAGAGCAACCAGTGCTTAAAATCACTGAGCCATCTCTCCAGCCATATAAATAAAATTGTTTAAAAAACGTTGGAGAGGGGCTGGAGAGATGGCTCAGCAGTTAAGAACTTTGTTCTTGAGGAAGATCCGGGTTCGAATCCCAGCACCCACATGGCAGCTAACAACTGTCTGTAACTCCAGTTCCAGGGGATCTGACAGCGTCTTCCATCTTCTGCAGGCACTGCACGACATGGGTGCACTTACTTACATGCAGGCAATACATGCATACACATAAATAAATTAAAAAAAAAAAAACATTGGAGAATCTGGGCATGGTGACGCAAGCGTTTAGTCCCAGCACTTGGGAGGTAGAGGCAGGCAGATCTCTGTGAGATTGAGGCCAGCCTGGTCTACATAGCAAGCTCCACCCCAGCTGGGGCTACAGGGAGACCCTGTCTCAAAAAAAGACAATAATAATAATAATAAATAATAAAATTAAAATGATAAAAACCATTGGAGAGGCGTGCACAACTTCTATGGTACCACTCCATTCATTACCAGTCCTGAGCAGCCTTGCCCCTCACCCAGGCACACTAGCCAGACCCCTGCTCTCCACCTCTTCCCAGCTCACCCTAGCTGTGGCCCTTGGGGACCCCCTTGACCTTGACCTGACAGTGCTGTTGGGCTCTAGCATGGCCAGTCTATAGTCCTCCTCTGTGAGCTGCCAATTGTGCAGATCTCCCATAATGACGCCAGAGAGAGAGATGAAGCTCACCAAAAGGTTCACCCCTGTGAAGACTCTGCTGACCAGGGCTGACTCTCGAGCCCTCAGTGCCAGGAGCCCTGTGGGAAGATGGAATAGGAAAGAACCAATAAAAAGAAATCCAGCCAGGTGTGGTGGCGCACGCCTTTAGTCCCAGCACTCGGGAGGCAGAGGCAGGCGGATCTCTGTGAGTTCAAGGCCAGCCTGGTCTACATAGTGAGTTCCAGGACAGCTGGAGCAACAGGGAGATCCTGTCTCAAAAAGACCAAAAAAAAAAAAAAAGAAATCTGAAGCCAGGTGTGATGGCATACACCTGGAGTCCCAGCACATAGAAGGTGAGTGAGGTCGAGGGGCTAGAGAGATGGTTCAGTGGTTAAGAGCACTGGCTGCTCTTACAGAGGATCCGGGTTTGAGTCCCACCCCCCCATCCTAACTCCAGTTCCAGGGGAATCCGACACTGTTCTTATTCATTCTGATCTCCTCGGTCATTGCACAACAAAGGTACACTTACATACTTGCAGGCAATATGCTCATACACAAAAAAATAAAAATGAGTTTTTCCAAAAGCCAGGTGTAGCCAGGCATGGTGGACACTCATACACACACACACACACAAAATGAGTTTTAACAAAAGCCAGGCATAGTGGCACATACCTTTGATCTCAGCACCCAAGAGGGCAGATCTCTGTGAGATGGAGGCCAGAATCTGGTCTACATAACCAATTACAGGCCAGCTGTGGTTATAGGGAGACCCCGTCTCAAAAAGCCAAAAAGAAAATCCAGGTGTGAGAGTGTACACCTTTGAGTCCATCACTCACTCTGTGAGACTGAGGCCAGCCTGGTCTACATAAGTTCCAGACCAGCTGAAGCTACAGGAAGACCCTGTCTGAAAAATTAAAAAAGAAATTAAAAAAAAAAAAAGATTTTGACCAAGAGATCAGAGCCATCCTGGCTAGACAGGAAGACCCTGAATCCAAAAATAAAATAAAAATAAAAATATACATTATGGGATAGAAAGTACTTCCGTGGTAGAGCCCTTGCCTAGCTTTCATAAGGCCTTGTCTTGATCCTCAGCACCACAGATTTAAATAAATAAGCTAGACCTGATGGTTGTGCAGGCAGGAGGACAGAAAGTTTGAGATCTTCCTGGCCCAGAGAGAGTTTAAGGCCAGCCACAGTGACTTCTGAAAGCAATCAGGACTAGAGAAGCAGCTCAGCAGAACCCACCAATGAGGGGCTGGGGGCACAGTGCAGTGCTGGAGGGCCTGCCTAGAATCTGTCAGTGAGGGGCTGGGGATGTAGCTCTGCAGTTAAGAGCTTGCCTAGAATCCATCAGAGAGAGGCTAGGGATTTAGCTTAGTGGTAGAACACTTGCCTAGCATACATAAGACCCTAGCCCTAGGGGAGTTTTTTGCTTTGTTTTGTTTTTAAGATTTATTTTTAGGGGCTAAAAAGATGGCTCAGTGGTTAAGAGCCCTGGCTGCTCTTGCAGAGGACCCAAGTTCAATTCCCAGCACCCGCATGGTAGCTAACAACCGTCTGTAACTCCAGTTCCAGGGGATCCAACACCCTCTTCTGGCCTCCACAGGCATTGCTCACATGGGTACTCTTATATACATGCAGGCATTATACTCACACACATAAAATAAAAATAAAAATTTGTTTTGGTCTTTTTGAGACAGGGTCTCCCTGTAGCCCCAGCTGGCCTGGAACTCACAGAGATCCACCTGCCTCTGCCTCCCAAGTGCTGGGATTAAAGGCGTGCACCACCATGCCCAGCAAAAATAAAATATTTTAAAAAATAAATCAAGCCAGGTATGGTAGTGCATGCATTTAATCCCAGTACTTGGGAGGCAGAGGTAGACAGATCTCAATGAGTTCAAGGCCAACGTGGTCTGCATAGTGAGTTCCAGGCCAGCTGGGCCTGCAGGGAGACCCTGTCTCAAAAATAAAAATAAAATAAATAAATCAAATACAAATTTAAAAGAATAAATCTGGGACTAGAGAGATGGCTCAGCGGTTAAGAACACTGTTCTTTCAAGAAGACCCAGGTTCAAATCCCAGCACCTACATGGCAGCTAACAACTGTCCATAACTCCAGTCCCAGGGGATCCGACAGCCTCTTCTGTCTTCCTCGGGCATTGCATGACACAGGTGCACTTACCTACATGCAGACAATACACGTATACACACCAAATAAAAATAATAAATAAAATATATATTTTTAAAAAGAATAAATCTACCAGGTGTGGTGGCACCTGCCTTTAATTCCAGCACTCAGGAGGCAGAGGCATGTGGATGCCTAGGAGATGGAGGCCAGCCTGGTCTACATAGCGAGTTCTAGGCCAGCTGTGGTTACAGGGAGACATTGTCTCAAGAAAAAGAATAAATCTATTGAAAAAGAAAGACTGTTGAGGATAATGGGAGTGACTGCTTAACGGGTGAGGAATCTTTCAACAATGATGACAGTGTTTTGGAATAGATCAAGAAGACAGAATGCACATTGAGTGCTAATAAATGCCACTTTTATTCCTCTCAGCAAAGCCACAGGGTTATCACCCAGCTCCAGCTACCAAGAAGTGTACACGTCATTGCTGGTTGGGGGAGGGGGGTCATGTTTTTATTTATTCGGGGGGATGGACCCACAGGCAGAAGTCAGAGGAAACTTGCTATAGTTAATTCTCTCCTTCCACTATATGGGATCTGGGGATTGAACTCAGGACATCGGGCTTGTAGCAAACACCCTTACTAGCTGAGTCATCTCCCCTGTCCTGTTTTTCCATTTTCAAGACAGTGTCTCTCTATGTAGCTCAGGCTGGCCTCAAATTTACCATCCCTCCTATCTCAGGTTCCTGAGTCTTACCTACATGCATTTGATATCATACCTAGCTTTTATGCACACTTTTTATTTTTATGTGCAAGAGTATTTCATGTGCACTTTATGCCATGTCCACAGAGGCCAGAAGAGGGCATTGGAGTCCCTGGAACTGTTGTTAGTTGCCATGTGTGTGCTGGGATCTGAACCTGGGTGCTCTGCAAGAGAAGGCAGGGCTCTTAGCCATTGAACCATTGAGCCATCTCTCCAGCCCCTTGTGTACAGTTTTTAAATGGTCAGTTTGGCCCGGGCGTGGTGGCACATGCCTTTAATCCCAGCACTTGGGACGCAGAGGCAGGCAGATCTTTGTGAGTTCGAGGCCAGCCTGGTCTACATAGTGAGTTCCAGGATGGCTGGAGTTTCAAGGAGACTCTGTCTCAAAAAAGACAAAAAAAAAGGTCAGTTTGGCTAGGGATGTGTCTCAGTGGTAGACTATTTACCTAAGATCCCTGAGGCCCTATAATCAATCCACAACAACACACTCACACACACACACACACACACACACACACACACACACAATGCTTAATATTGTTTATTCAAATTTCACCAATTAAAAAAATTAAATTCATGGGGCGTGGAGACACATGCCTTTAATCCCAGCACTCAGGAGGCAGAGGCAGATGGATCTCTGTGAGTTTACAGCCAGCCTGGTCTACATAGTGAGTTCCAGACCAGGTGGGGCTACAGGGAGACCCTGTCTCAAAAAGACCCCCCCCAAAAATTAAATTCATCCTCTTCCTGTAAGCATTCTGAGGTGACCTATGAAAATGGTTTGCTACCCTCTTGACCCAGAAAAGCCTACAAAATCAGCAAATCAAGAGAGTCCAATTTTCATGTTCACTTGTTCTCTTTTAAAAAACTCATCAAACTGCCCAGGCCATCAAGGGTGTGCATATCCCAAAAGCCATCAAGTATCTGAAGGATGTCACTTTAAAGAAGCAATGTGGGCCATTCTGGTGGTATAATGGTGGAGTTGGTAGGTGTACCCAGGCCAAAGAGTGGCTTGACCCAGGGTCAGTGGCCCAAAAAAGGCTGCTACATTTTTGCTGCACATGCTTAAAAATCCAGAGATGGCTGAAGAAATGACTCAGCGGTTAAGAGCACTGACTGCTCTTGCAGAGGACCCAGGCTCCAATCCTAGCACCCATATGGTGGCTGACAACCAGCTGTAACTCCAGTTCCAGGGGGATCTGACATCTTCTTGTGACCTCCAGGGGCATTGCACAACATGAGTGCACTTACATGTATGGAGGCAAGACACTCATACACATAAAATAATAAAAATAAAATATTTTTAACTGGGTGTGGTGTCCCACGCCTTTAATACCAGCACTCGGGAGGCAGAGGCAGGCAGATCTCAGCGCCAGCCTGGTCTACATAGTGAGTTCCAGGCCAACTGGGGCTACAGGGAGACCCTGACTCAAAAAGAACAAAAATATTTTTTTTAATGCAGAGAATAATGCTGAACTTAAGGGTTTAGATGTAGATTCTTGTCATGGAGAGTTTCCAAGTGAACAAATCGCCCAAGATGCATCCAGAATTTACAGCTCATGGTCACTCGTATGAGCTCCCTCTGCCACATGGAAATGATCCTCACTGCAAAGAAACAAATTGTTCCTAAGCCTGAAGAGGAGGTAGCAGAAAAGAAAAAGAAATCCTAGAGGAATTTCTGGGCATGGGAATAAATTGAGCATAAAATAAATGCATTTAAAAGTAAAAAAAAAAAATTTAACTAGATCTTGGGTCTGGAGAAATCACTGCTGTTAAGAGCACTGGCTACTCTTACAGTGGACCTGGGTTCCATTCCCAGCACCCACATGGGGCAATTCACAACTTCCTTTATCTTCAGTTCCATGGGCTCCAACATCTTCTCCCAACCTCCTCGGGCACACACTATATACTCAGGCACACACATACAAATAAAATCAATAAATCAAAAACATTAAATTCTGATTTTTTAAAATTGTTTAAAATTTCAGAAGGGGCAGCGGCTGGTGAGATGGCTCAGTGGTTAAGAGCACTGACTGTTCTTGCAGAAGACCTGGATTTGAATCCCAGCACCTACATGGCAGCTAACAACCATCTCTAACTCCAGTTCCGGGGATCTGACGCCCTCTTCTGACCTCCATGGGCATTACATGACATGGCTGCACTTATACACATGCAGGCAATGCACACATACACATAAAATAAAAGAATTAAACAGGGAAAGCTGGGGACATAGCTCAATGATTGAGTACATGCTGGCATTTGTGAGACCCTGGCTTTTGACCCCCAGAAATTTCTACATTGCCCTACAACCAAAAGAAATACAAAGTTGAGAACTGGTGATGTAGTTCAGCTGTTAGCGTGCTTGCCTGGACTCCATCCCCACATAAACTAGGTGTGATGATAAATGCCTGGAATTTCAGCACTCCAAAGGTAGGAGGAAGAGGAACTCCAAGTCATCTTCCTTCAAAGTGAGATAAAAGCCAGCCTGGGCTACATGAGACCCAGTCTAAAAAAACCCATCTTTAAAGCCAGGTGTGGTGGCTCACACCTTTAATCCCAGAACTAAGGAGGCAGAGGCAGGATGTGAGTTCAATGCCAGCCAGGTCTACATAGAGAGTGCCAGGTCAACTGAGGTTACACAGAGACCCTGTCTCAAAAAGACCAAAAGAAACAAACAAAAAAACCTGTCTTTGGTCATAATACAGAGGAAGGGCCAGGAGGTGGCTCAGTGCGGGCACTTGCCCTCAACCCTGGGACTTGCACATGGTGGAGGAAAAACCCAACTCCTACAAGTTCCTCTGACCTCCACATGTGCACAGCCACACACATAGATACACAAATAAATAAAGGTAATTACAGAGGAAGAAGCTAATTCTCTATCAGTAGGTCTTGGTTAAAAGTGATGTTCTGGCCCTGCAGCAGACCCCTGGCCTGTGACAGTGTGGGGAAGCGGACTGCTGGCATCAGGTAGGCAGGAGTGAGGGATGCTGCAACTCAGCATCCTTACATCGTTGACCCCCAGCATCACTGGGGCTGAGTCCGGCCTCAGTCTCCTTTCCTATGCCTGGTACTGCACATCTTTTGCCTGCCACCATTCGTCTGTCCCTGGAGCCGTTGCTGCCTTGTCCCTGCCCCTGCCTTACCAATGAGAATCAGCACCAGCCCCAGTGCAAAAAAGTCTGGATACTTGGACAGGAAGCCAGGCATTTGCATAGGGAAAGTGTTGTTCAGGGCCTTGGAGATGTGATTCCCCGTGAGACTCTGAAAAGCTGCGCTCCGGGCTCAAGCCACACTAGCTGTACCTGTGGGAGGAAAAGGAATGTTCATTCACAAGAAGGGAGCCCAAGGATGCACTGAACAAGGGATGCTATGAGAGCCTGGCGTGCGCACACACACATGTGCACACCTTTAATCGCACTAGGGAGGTCTACACAGTGAGATCCAGGCCAACTGGGGCTACAGGGAGACCCTGTCTCAAAAAGACGAAGAAAAAAAAAGAAGGAAAAAAAAGAAAGTAGGACACAGAGATTCTGGAACTGGAGGTGGCTCCGGGGTTAAGAACACTTGCTGTTCTTCCAGAGGACCCAGGTTAAATTCCTAGCACCCACATGGCAGTTCTGTTCCTTTTTCTGGCCTGGGGGGGGTCTCTTTGAGACAGGGTCTCCCTGTAGCCCCAGTTGGCCTGGAACTATGTAAACCAGGCTAGCCTTGAACTCACAGAGATCCACCTGCCTCTGCCTCCCAAGTGCTGGGATTAAAGGCATGTGCCACCACCATGCCCTGAAAGTAAATTGCTTTTTCGAAAAGGGATTCTATGAGAGGAAAATATGTATCAATTTCTATGTACTGGAGGTTTGGAAAAAGATACAAAATATCTAATCTCAAAGGGTTTCTTGGAGGGGCGGAGAGATGGCTCAGCAATTAAGGGCACTGACTGCTCTTACAGAGGGCAGGGTTCAATTCCTGCACCTACATGGCAGCTAACAACCGTCCGTAACTCCAGTTCCAGGGGAATCTGATGCTCTCTTCTGATCGCCACAGGCACTGCACAACACGTGTGCAATGACACACTTGCAGGCAATACACTAATACACATAAAATAAAAATAAGTAAAACATTTTCAAAAAAAAGGGTGGGGTTTCTTGAGCTGGGGATCTAGTTGAGTAGCCAGCCTGGCCCACGTGAAACCTTGACTCAAAACACAGAAAAGGAAAGGAAAGGAGAGGAAGGGTCCTGACCAGGCATGGTGACACATGCCCAGAATCCCTGTGCTTAGGAAACAGAGGCAGGAATATCAGGGGTTCGAGGCCACCTTCAGCTACATAGCAAGCTCAAGGCTAGCCTGGACTACATAAGAAATCTCCAAAAAAATAAAACAAGAATTTTAAGGCCAGACGTGAGGGGTGCATGTCTTTAAACCCAGCCCTAGGGAGGCAGAGGCAGGTGGATCTCTTGTTAGTTCAAGGGTAGCCTGTTCTACATAGCAAGTTCCAGAGCAGCTGGGGCTACAGGGAGACCCTGTTTCAAAAGACCAAATAATAATTAGTAATAATAATAAGTGATGGTTTGAATAAAAATATCCCCCTTAGGTTCCAAGTAGTTGGACATTTTTGTTCCCAGATGGTGGCGCTGTTTTGGGAGGTTTTAGAAGGTGTGGCTATCCTGGAGGAAGCACATCACTGGGGGTGGGCTTAGAGAGTTCTTAAGCCTTGCTGAATCTCCAGTAGCTCTCTTGCTTCCTGTGCCTGCATCATGATGTGAGAACTTAACTTCTGCTCCTGCTCCAGCCACCTCCAGCCACCATGCCGCCCTGCCATGATGGACTGTAATTCCCCTGGAACCATAAGCTCAAATAAACTCTTCCTTCTATAAATTGCTTTGGTCAGTGTTTCTATCACAGCAACAGAAAAGTGACTAATACATAATTGTAACGGGATTCTCCCAAGACATGCTGGGCTCACACCTGTAATCCCAGTACTCGAGAGGCAGAGCCAGGAGGAGCACCAAAAATTTGAGACCAACCTGGTCTACACAGTGAGAGCCTCAAGCAAACAAAGGTTGCCTCCTGTCCATTTGCTATTATTCCCATTTCTCCTTGCTTTTGTTCTCTAAGGAAAGCAGGACAGGGAGGAGCAGAATGGCATCCCGGGTCTTCCTCCATTCCCCAAACCTCCCTAACATGTGACAGGGCTTGTGAAGGAGGGCAAAACCCACTTTAGCCCCCCTCACTGCCCGTGGTTAAGTCCCCACACCTCCTCACCAATGACACTGGAGAGGACGAGGTTCCAGCCAGTGATGAAAGCTAAGAGCTGGCCCTCTGTGACACAGCTGTAGAGATAAGCAGAACCGGAACACAGCACCCTGGCTCCAAACTCTGTAAAACAGAGCCCAGACTGCGCGGAAGACAGGGCAGCGACCAAAAAGCAGATGATGATGGGTGGTCCAGCCTTCTCTCTGGACACCTCCCCAGTCAGGACATACACTCCTGCTCCCAGGGTGCTGCCCACACCCAAGGTCACCAGGTGCAAAGTGGTCAGACAGCAGGACAAGGGAGACTCAGACTGTCCAGTGCCAGGGGCCACCGGTGGACCAGCTTCTGACCAAACTGACAGATATTCTGCCACATTGTCCTAGGTTTGTAGTGGAGGAAGCCAAGATCTGCTGGAAAACAAGACAAGATGTCAAGGCTTGGTCCTGGGAGTTTGACATGAGACATAGTCCTCGGGAATGATGGCTATCAGGTTAGCGGTCAGTACAAGGCAAACATCCTTTTCAAAGCCCTGCTGCTTCAAACATATATTTTTTTTAATTTTTATGTGTATGAGTGTATTGCCTGCATGTGAGTGCACCCATGTCCTGCAATGCTGCAGCGGTTAGAAGAGGGTTTGGGATTCCCCTGGAACTGGAGTTAAGGACAGTTCGGAGTCGCCATATGGGTGCTGGGAATCGAACCCGGGTCCTCTGCAAGAGCAGTCAGTGCTCTTAACTGCTGAGCTATTTCTCCAGCCCCCAAACATAAATTAGAATAGCAATATTCTTCTTTTTTTTTTTCTTTTTTTCTGGCAGGGCATGGGGAGAGGAGGGTAGGTTGAGCCATGGTCTCCTATAGCCCCAACTGGCCCAGAACTCACTATGTAGACCAGGCTGGCCTGGATCTCTCAGAGATCCACCTGCCTCTGCCTCCCGAGTGCTGGCATTAAAAGTGTGACCCATCACACTCAGTTTTTGTTTTTCTTTTGTTTTTCATTTTAGAAAGTCTCACTATGTAGCTGAGGCTGTCCTGCCTCAGCCTCCCCAGTGCTGAGATTACAGGCCTGAGCCACCTTAACTGGCACTAACACTTTACAAAGTGTGCTGGGTCACCAGAAGAGAACAAATAAAACTCTCAAGGAGATAGAAAGATCAGGAGTTCAAGGACAGCCTCAGCTACATAGAGAGTACAAGGCCATCTTGCTTTACATGAGACCCTGTCAAAAAAATTATAATAGGGCTGGAAAGATGGCTCAGCGGTTAAGAGCACCAGCTGTTCTTGCAGAAGAGCCAGGTTCGAATCCCAGCTAACAACCTTCTGTAACTCCAGTTCCACGGGATCCGAAGCTCTCCTCTGTCATCTGCAGCCACAGCACGAGTGCACTTACATACATGCAGGCACAACACTAATACACAAGTAAATAAATATTCCCAGGTCTGGCACACAGCTGCTTCAGGGTTATGAGGGGAGTAGAGGATAGAGCTTATTTTTGAAACCACATTACTTGTGTTGGACCCCAGCTCTTGTGCCACTTCTCAGCTGTCTGGTTTTACCCAAGCTCTTTGCCAGTCTTCACCCTTTTCCATAAGCCATGGAAAACAGTAACTACTGCTCCTGCCTTCTTTCCCTGACCTGTGTGTGGTGGTGCTTGGGGGAGATTGGTGAACAGAGAGCTCCGACTTGATGTTTCCAAGTCAAGGGCCCTGGAAGCAGGTAGCTGTTTCATTGCTTTCAGAGTAGAATGGAATTGGAATTTGGAACTGGGGCAAAAGGAGATGGAATTTGTAGTGCAGGGGAGATGCCCTAACCCAGCCCAGCTCAAGACCCACTTTGGCTGGGCATGGTTTTGTGGATCTGTAATCCCAGCATTTGGAAGGCTGTGCCAAGAGGATCAGATCTACAGTTTGAGGATAACCTGGGATACATAAGGAGATACTATCTCAAAGTGGGGGGGGAGGGAGGCAGGGGGTACTTACCTAGCATACACAAAACCCTAGGTTACATCTCCAGCACTGTGTAAACCAGGCCTTGGGGTCACAAGCCTGTAATCTCAGCATCCCAGAGATGAAGTAGGAGGATCAGGAGTTCAAGGTCATCAGCTGATGGTGCCTTGGAGACTAGCCTGAGCTACATGAAACCGATTTTTTTAATCCTTTTTTAAAAATTTATTACTTTTATTTTATGTATATGAGTATATTGCCTGCATGTCAGTAGGCACACCCATGTCGTGTTTTTTTTTTTTATTTTTTATATATATGAGTGTAAGTGTACCCATGTCATACAATGCCCATGGAAGTCAGAGGGGGTGCATCAGATCTCCTGGAACTGGAGTCATGGACTGTTGATAGCCACTGTGTGAGTGCTGAGAGCCAAACCTAGGTCCTCTGCAGAAGCAAAGCCAGTGCTCTTAACTTCTGAGCCATCTTCCCAGCCCCATGAAACAGATTTTGAAAAATCTTTTGTAAATCCACTTTATTTCAACCCAAGGGCATTACAGAGGGGTAGAAATATCTGGAATAGCTCTGTTCATGGAAGCCATATTCACAGAAGCCAAGAGAGACAGATCATGAATCTACATATGGACAGCTGAAGAGATTACAGCATGTACCAGCGATGGAGCATCACTAGTCTTAGAAAGAAACCATTTCACTGGATGTGGTGGCATTTACCTTTAATCTTAGCACTCAGGAGGCAGCTGCAGGCAGATCTCAATGAGATCAAGGCCAGCCTGGTCTATACAGTGTTCCAGGCCAGGTGGGGCTACAGGGAGGCCCTGCCTCAAAAAAAAAAAACAAAAAAACAAACAAAAAAAACACACCAAAAAATAAATAAACGGTGACCAGCATAAGCCAACAAACCAAAAGAGTAGGGGGCAGTGTGGAAGGGTCCCTGAGTTCAGGGGCTCCCCTCCCAGCAGAGCTGAGTGGGGTTGCTACCCTTCCAGACACCTGGATGTGTGGGCATACCTCCAGGTGCTACCTGAACCCGGTACTCCCAGGTCTTATGGAGTTGATGTAACTTAACTGCTGGGGAATGTAACGAGCGAGGCCTGTCTGGCTGGATTCTTCTTGTCCTGTCCGAGCAGCATTCCTTCCTCCCCCAGTTTGAGGTAGGACCACCTTTAGAATTTCTGACTCACCTCTGAGAAGAGAATTTTTTAGTTCCTTAGGACTTGACTTGAGGTAGAGCCAGAAACTGAAGACAAAAAACAAAAAATACAAGACAGGTATGGTGGTACACACCTAGAACCCTGGCACTCGGGAGTCTGAGGCAGGAGGATTGCCGCAAGTTAGAGCCCATTCTTAGCTATACAGTAAGTTTTAGACCAGTCTGGGCTAGAGTGAGACCCTGTCTCAAAACTAATTAAAAAGGCAGAGTGTAGTGGAGCATGCCTTTAATCTTAGTACTTGGGAGGCAGGGGCAGGTAGAGCTCTATGAGTTCAAAGCCAGCCTGGGCTACATAGTGAATTCCAGGACAGCCAGGGCTTCAGAATGAGACTGTCTCAAAAAGGATAAATAGGGGCTAGAAAGATGGCTCAGAGGTTAAGAGTACTGGCTGCTCTTACAGAAGACCTGGGTTCAATTCCCAGCACTCACGTGGTAGCTAGGGAATCAGATGCCCTCTTCTGACTTCTGAGGGCTTTGTACAACATGGGTTCACCTACCTACATGCAGGTAATACACTCATACACATAAAATAAAAATAACAAATAAGATAAATAAATCACACTATCCTGGGCTGGTGGAATGGATCAGTGGGTAGAGGCACTTGCCACCAAGCCCTGAGTTCTGATTCCTGGGTCCCATGTGGTAGAAAGAGAAAACCCCCCCAGTTGTCCTTTGACCTCCACACATGTGCTCATACACACACACACACAATAAATGTAAAAAAAAAATTAAATCACATCATCCATGGCCTCTCCACACACAATTCTAAGCTCCTCCACCCTCAACACAGCAGAGGCTTGGATTGCCGAGGCCACCTCAAGTTATCAGAACCTGAAGGGAGCACTGTCTTCCAAAGAGGAGAGATCAGGCAGACTTACTGTGTGACTGGCGTAGAGGTGCTGGAAGGGTCTGTGAGGCCGCACTCAGGAGCAGTGCTGGGCAGAAGCTGATGGATTTTGAAAGCTGATGAATGTTTGAGATGACAGCTGCAAGCCATGGCATTTAAGTACCTCCTGGGAAGAGCCTGTGGGCAGGGTGGGGACAGCCTGGGCAGGGCAGAACTCATCTCTATGTACCCTTTCTCCAGTTCTGGACAAGGCATGATGCCGCTACACTTAAACTGTCACTTTTAGAAAATTAGTAACAGGCCAGGCATAGTGATGGACTTCTTGAATCCCAGCATTCAGGAGGTAGGGGCAGGTGAATCTCTGTGATTGTGAGAGTCAGGCCAGCCTGGTCTATATAGTGAGTTCCAGGCCAGCTGGGGCTACAGGGGCTACAGGTCTCAAAAAGACCAAAAAAAAAAAAAAGTCTTCCTGGGTATTCTTGTTACTATTGGTTTTTCTTTTTTATTTTTTTGATCTTTTTGAGACAGGGTCTCCCTACAGCCCCAGCTGGCCTGGAACTCACTATGTAGATCAAGCAGGCCTTGAACTCACAGAGATCCATCTGCCTCTGCCTCCCAAGTACTTGGACTACAGGCATGTGCCACCATGCCCAGGTGGTTTTTATTTTCTAAAGAGGCTCTATGTAACCTCAGTTGGCCTGGAACTCACCATGTAGCCCTGGATGATCTGGAACTCACAGAGATCCAGCTATCTCTACCTTCCAAGTGCTGGGATTAAAGGCGTGCATCACCATGCTGGCTAGATTTTTTAATTTTTTTATTTATATATATTTATTTTATTTTATTTTGCCTTTTTGAAACAGGGTCTCAGGGCTGGAGAGATGGCTCAGCGGTTAAGAGCACAAATTGCTCTTGCAAAGGACCCGGGTTCGATTCCCAGCACCCATATGGCGGCTACGAAACACAGTCTCCCTGTAGCCCCAGCTGGCCTGGAACTCAATATGTAGACCAGGCTGGCCTTAAACTCACAGAGATCTTCCTGCCTCTACCTTCCAAGTGCTGGGACTACAGGCATGTGCCACCACACCTGGCCTTTTTTTTTTTAAACACAGGATTACATGTGTCCCAGTCTAGACTCAAACCCCACCTGTAGCTTGTCATGGTTAGCGTCAGTTGTCAACCTGACACCCCTGGGAAGAGGGGCCCTCAACTGGTGAATTTCTTCTATGGGACTGGCCTGTGGCCATGTCTGTGGGGCATTTTCTTGATTATTGAGGGTTATGGGAGGGCCCAGCCCACTGTGGGTGGTGCCACTCCTGGGCAGGTGGACCTGCGTTGCATAAGAAACCAGGCTGAGTAC